AGGTGGCAAAAAGCTATTGACACATTAATTGTGATTCATGGACCGTGAACGATTTTTAGGCCAGACGCTCCCTGAATATTCTTGCATCACGCATGCGGTCCTTTATGTTTAGTGGGCTAATGGTGGCATCGTCAACTTTGCCGAGTCTTTGATGATGTTCTCTTGAAAATTTTCTAAATTTCGTTTTCGCTCTGTCTAATAGTTGCCTTTGATACGAAGTGTGAATAGGAGGTAATATCACTAAATATTATTCTACGACGCCTTCTGTGTCAGGGAGCCGAGTATTCCAAAAACCTTATGAACTCATATACGAAAAAGTGAATTTAGAATTTAGATTGTTTTTTTCTCCACCATTGCATTGAGTTATTGGTGGACTCCAAGAAAAAAACGTTGATTGAATTGAGAGACAATACCAGACGGACTGACATTGTGACGAAATACTTAGCCCTAATGTGACACGAATTCAGCTTGAATTCTTCAGAGTTAGTTCAGTCAACTGGAAGCCTAATAAATTTTGTATTGTAAAGTGCGCATTTTGCTGGTCACGACCACCTAAGCAATATCTGAATCACTGCTCCACAACATCAAAATAAAATCATTTCGTAGTAATGTAACCGGTTTATCTGGGACTCGTTGCTCAGCACCTACTGTGTCCTCTGTCAGGGACTAGAAGGAATTTGAGTTCACACTCGAGTGAAATAAATGCTGAGTCGTGATACTTTTTCACAAATGTGGTTATGGACTGGAGGAACTCAATGGAATTGGTAGTGGTTCAATTACAAATAGTTCTAGGCCATTTTATAATGTTCTACCCTATCGCTCTAACATCATGGAGTATTTCAACCCTCCCCGAGTACTGACAACTCGGTAATTTTTGTTCGGTGTAGTACCCCACTCGCTGGTTCCGATCATTCGGGTAATATTTGCATTACTGTTTTGCAGCACCAAAATAGTTTCATTTTCTCAAGAATATAACCGAATTGATCTTGAAATCGTTGTTCAGCATCTACTGTAGTCTGTATCAGGGAGTGGAGGGAATTCAAATCTCATAAGAACACACATTCCGGATGGATGAATATTGAACTTTACTCTTTTTCTTTAGCATTTCATCGCAGGATGGGGTCAGCTTCCCCTATCTTAATTTGATGACAGAGTTTGGGGCTTTTCTAGGTAAAAATCTACCTGAGACATGTGCGCTATCTAAGAAAAAACGCAGCAGTGCATCAGACAACGTTGGACCTCTAGTTATCCATTAGGGGAGAACTTTTTAAACCTTGGTACGTTCCCACGATCATATTTATAAATTGTACGCCAGCATGTAATATGTATAGAACTCGAACAATGTTATATTTTAACACCATGCATTGTGCTTTCATTTTTCAGGTGCCCCATAATCCCGTGCCCACTCAAATTGAGCAAATCATGTACAAGTGAGCCTAGGACACCTTGCTCTTATTTTGAGGGAACTTCACGCTACTTGGTGTCGTGTATAGGTACGTTTTCCTCTTCAATGTTTTTTGCTTGTCACTTCAATTTGGGCTATTCGGGTGGGGGTGAACACCTTTAAGGGCAGCCAGTTTTTCTCAGAATTCGTGTTTTTCTCAGATAGTTACCCTTTCGTTCAACAAACAGGATACGAATCCAATAAATCATGGGTAGTGTTGCCAGGGAATTGCCCGAGCGTTCAGCATTATTTTTATTAGGTTTTTCATTAGTGTCTTATTATATTTTTATTAGCTATTTTTATTATTTTTTTTTGTATGCCTACGGCCCCACTAAAGATAAAAGGATCATATGGTTATTAAATGCGTAAGAGCTGATCCCATATGCGGAAGTAAGTTACCAATAGCAGTAATACAGCTGTGAATGAGTCAATTATTTTAATAGCTAGCATAAATGTCAACAGCCTCGGGAATGTGGTTGAATTTTGCTCTCTGCCATTTACGTAGGCCCGATGCAGTGAGTCCATTGAATTCCTTGGAAATGAACAACAGAAGTCATTATGGGAATGTTTGGTACGTCTCACATGGTGTGAAACTAATACATAGCTCAATGGTTCTAAGACGATCTTGGTAGACTTCCCTCCCCTATTTCAACAGAAGTAGAAGAATGGGAGAAGGTGCTTCTGGTGCTCTAATATCCATTCCGTACCTTCTAAAGCAAATTGTAGTTCTCAACCATTCGCTATTAGTAACAAATAAATGAACAACAGAAGTCATTATGGGAATGTTTGGTACGTCTCACATGGTGTGAAACTAATACATAGCTCAATGGTTCTAAGACGATCTTGGTAGACTCCCCTCCCCTATTTCAACAGAAGTAGAAGAATGGGAGAAGGTGCTTCTGGTGCTCTAATATCCATCCCGTACCTTCTAAAGCAAATTGTAGTTCTCAACCATTCGCTATTAGTAACAAATAAAATTTTTGTCTCCAAAGGTAAAGTAGTAAATTCGTGTCTCGTGAATGGGAAAAGCATTCCTCGATTCAAAAGTATCATGAAAATCTTTCCACTGTTAATTAATAAATACGATTGTGCTACTCATTCCCAGATCGAACTGTCTTATGAAAGGAATTATTGGAATTATTATCTTTTCAAAGGAATTAAGCTGAAGTTGAGGTCACAAATAAGCGATCTGCAATCGGAAGCGGAGGCATATTTTGTTAGGATTGATCAATGTGACGACACGTTATCGATTCTCCAAATCTCAGCCAGCCTCGATTACTTGGAACCATTCTAGGACATATCTTTGGAAGTAAATCATAATCAGTGGTGGTTATCAGCGGTGCTTTGATATAAGCCCCTCATTCCACTTCGTGGTAAAGTTAAGAATCGTGGTAAAGTTTTGGTTGCGTACAGAGTCGCAACAGCCCCTGACGTGACGGGCGCTCCCTACACAATGACTTTCGGTGGGTCAGTCGATGTGCAAGTCAAAGCTTCTGTTCTCCCAGACGAGCGTGGCACCGATCATCTGACCCCGGAAGGATGGAAGCGTTGACAGATTCAGGCGAGTATTGATCCGGCATTCGATACCCAAACTACAGTGTTGGACAGATCGGCACTTATTAGTAACCATCTACGCTCGTATATTTATACAGTCATATGAGTTCTATCAAAACTAAATACTGTAGTAGTTCAATACTTCAAATTTGAAGAGAGTTGGAAGGTAGCATATGTGTCAGAAAACTCAAAAATAAAGAAAAAATTGGTATTACCTGTCTTGGTCAGCCCCCTGCGCCCGTAATATTTTACTTTTTTTTNNTTTTTTTTCAGAATTTTTGGACGTGGAAAGAGAACAGGAATTGAAACGTTTGCGTAGGCAGGTGCCTATAGGTGGTGGTAATACGCTACAAACAACAACACCTTACGAATTTATTCCGATCCCTCGTGCTTCACAGACTACCCCGTCTCCTCGAAGAGCTTCTTGGTGGGTTGGCCGATTTTACTGCTTCTTCTTAATCAAAGTACTTTTACAAGCTTTTCGATAGAGAACTTCATGGGAAGCGCAGGTGATAGTATGTAGCTACCACAGCTTCTGAGGAGAATACATGTGGGTTCGAACCTCACCTGCGACATCCATGACTGGTTAACAATATGAAATACTCTGAGAAATTAAAGGTTATAAATGCACAAAGGATAGAAGACAAGGTTTTTTGAAGCCAATCAAATTCGTACTTGGGATGCACCCCCCATAAGGTTTCCTTTCAGTATCGTAAGGGCGTTTCGAATGCCCAAGTAGCCCGGTCGTGGCAAGCCGATGCAAATTCTTGGGCGAGTATTGATCAGGGATTCGATTCACTGATCATATGTATGATAGCCTGACCGTGTGTGCGCCACGCACCATCTTTGCCTTCGCCAAATCTATGGTCGTAATTAGGAATGAATGACTATGGATGTACTATTAGTGTATAGAGTTAAGTTAATCCATTACATTAATGAAACTACGAGACTTTGCTTTGCTCTAAGTCACTAGAACTATCTTATTTAGGTCACCCTCAACGCAACGGCAGCCCCCAGCAGCTTCTCGTGGTGCACCGGTAGGGTAATCCTTGTTTGCTTTGAATAACTTCTAGTCCACCATTTGCTGCCCTCAAATCAAACAAGGGCAGGTTACTGAAAAATACAGCAAACAGGTCCAAAGCCCCCATCGTTGGCAATATCATATCAGAATCGTAGCGAAGAGTAGGAAGATAATAAAGTAGGAAACATCCTTCAATAGTGATTGTTTAAACTGAACCTAGTTCATCCTTAGACAGAAGTGAGGAAGTGTGGATAACTAGCTACTTGTAAGAACCAGAGCCTTAGATTTTGCACCCTCGAAGTGGAATTGGTATAGAAACCCTGAAAAGGAATGGGAATATAAGAATTTTTCAGGCTAAACAGCTTCAGCAGTTCCAAGGCGAACCACTCATCAAACCAGGAATAGGCTATGGATTAAATGGACCGATGTAAGTTATCATTTCGTGTAAAAATAAAAGACCATCTAGAGCAATTACTGGTAGGGTGTGGCAAAGTTCCAGTTCGTGGGGATTTCAGAAAAAGGACCTCAAACTACTTGGACAGTAAGACAAAACAGAGCTAGTACCCTCTCAAGGACTGTCACTTCCCTGGCCAAACTGAGTTCCCTTTTTTTCTTTAAACTTAAGTCTCCGAGCTGTAGAAAAAAAGCTTTCCCTCTGAGTTTCCCGACTGGGTCCTCCCAAAAGTCTCTTCCATAGATAGCACAATGTTAAGCTCTGACTCTCCATTTGCAAACATGCTCGCTTCAACGCAATCGTTTCTCTACTTAATCGGAGACTCGGCCAATGAAGTCATCAGTAACTAATCGCTTGGTAAGATATTGAGTTGTAATACTTCTGCAGGATATTCTGATCCTTTGTTTTTTTTATGAATTGGACACAAAGAAAAAGTCTGTCCTACCACACGACCTGTGTTTTTTCCTCCCAGACGAGGCAATCAAAATTACCATTCCTCCGAGTATCAAGTATGTAGATGTGACCGGAAGGATGGTAAGTTTGTTTGCCCCTAACGGATATCAATCCCACATTCGAACCGCGGACCACGATTATGGGATAGTGCTTGCCACTACACCACATTCTTTGTCGAAAAAACTAATGAATTGATAAAACCAGTCTTTTTTTCAGGGCTTTCCCCAACAGGTTGGCCTGGAGTCTGAGTGGCTTAATCAATGGAATAGCGAACAACGTTCACAATTTCGTTGATTCTTTCCAATGGATAGCTGGTGGACTTCGTGGAGGATAGAAAAAATCGGAGCTGCAAATGTAAAAATGCATGAAACAATTCATTTATAATAGATCATGATGAACGAGAAATACAAAAGAAGAAACAGAGGAATGAAGATAGACGATAGTAACGCGAATTACATAATAATAATTGATATTACGATACGATACTGATGGCAACGAGATTTATATGTCAATAAGTAACCACGCATTCGTTGAGATATCAAGCAAGAAAAGCTCACAATCTGTCNCGAGAAACACAAAAGAAGAAACAGAGGAATGAAGATAGACGATAGTAACGCGAATTACATAATAATAATTGATATTATGATACGATACTGATGGCAACGAGATTCATATGTCAATAGTAACCGCGCATTCGTTGAGATATCAAGCAAGAAAAGCTCACAATCTGTCTTTACAGTGAAAAAAATTTTTGAAACACTTCAAAAGGGCTTCCGCACGAGAAGATATCGAGGAATAGAATCAACGAGACTAGGAAAAACCACCCGGATCGTACGAATTTGAACTCATTGTGGAATAAAAAGTAAAAGAATCTTCACTGAAGACGTTTACGAAGGTTGTCGTCTGAGGAACTGCGAAGCTTCGCTTTGGCACTTGGATAAGAGCCAAGGGATTTGTGCTACCACATCTGCCAAGGGATTTGTGCTACGACATCTATCCGGCCATTTTGGTCGGATGTGCGTGCCCAACTTGAGCTTTGAATAGAAAAATACTCCAACTCTTGGCAATGCTTCAAGACTACACTTGCCTTTCATTTTGGGGATGTGGGGGAAGGGGAACTGCAGGCAAGTCATAAAAATCCAGGCTGCGCCCAAAAGTCGGGCAAGGTTAGGAGATGTTCTGGTGGGGACATTGTACTGGAACCCTAGCCAGACAAAGAAATGATGCGATGTCCCAACCTGGCCCTTCCCTTCCGGTTTTGACTTCCAAGTCATTTCTTCCAGTAATGTCCAAGCATGACCCAAATGAAGAGCTTAAGCTGTTCTTCAGACGAGTGTTTCAAAGGATATGGGCATGATCACAGTGAAATCGTGGACTATCAAGAAAATTTCAGAAATTAGGGGGTATATCAAAAGCTGGGGAACTCTCTCCGTCCGCCGTGCATCAGAGGATGGTAGATGTCGGCTGTACTTAGATGGCGAGGTTTTGGTTGCTCGACTCGGCTGCTCTTCTTCATCGGACAGCTCTGACGTCGAGAAATCACTGCTCGGCTGATAGAGTTCTTGAATATACTTCCTGACAGCGATTCTGAAAAATACGGTAGAGTGCTTTCTGGTCCGTTTATTTAGAAACCCCTAGCAGGATAAGCATTAGATTTGGCATGTGGCTTTCTATGGGTTAGTTTGAATGTGAGACAGAAAAAGCAAAGCAAAATTCTCTATGATCACTTCCAATAGGATACGCCACGCACTAGGCTTTCACTCAGAAGCCCTGAAATTGCGATTGTAGTGATCTTGACTGATTCGATGGATAGCAGCGGCAGCTTCTCAGAGAACATGTTAGAAAGCTGTAGCGGCCCTGGCTACTTAGCTGGTTGTGTGAACAGCTGCTATAAGCCAATTTAGCAAAAAAAGAAGATTTTATAAAATAAATTCCTCGGATTAGTTAGGATTAGTGAGCACCATTTTCGATTGCCCTTACGTTTCGTCCCCATTTCTTGAACTTCTTCAGTGATCGATAGTCCACCGCTGATAGGAAGCAGGGAAACGTTTGTTTCTTGGATTTGAATGAAGTGAGAGAAGTTCGCTTTGGCTTGACGATGCCATTCCCATTCTATTTCTTGGCATTCTATTGTTATTAAATGCTGAATGAGTTAATATCAAGGGTTTCAAGTCACTCGAAACGCCAGCGTTGTCTGAGAGCAAAGAACTGCAATGGGGCCATCTAACCTAATGAAAACGTTGACGGATAGTCACCCAAAAACTTTGATTGCATTGACAAGGGGTACTGATGTATTCTGATCGCTGGTAGCCTGCTCACTATACCCACCAAAAATAATGTCAATTTTCTTTCTCGAGTGTTCATCAGCTGCGCAGAGATATTCAAAGAGGGTTGTGTTTGGAAAGTTACTGTTTCCTTATTCATTGCTCATGTTGGCATGTGAAATCATCGCGCTTTAAATATGTGTAGGTGGTAGTGACCTTAGACGGACCAAAGGAGCAGGGAGAAGATTCCAAGAAGTTTGAAATGTAATTGGTAGAAGCACTGTTCAGCACAAGGGGAGATTCGAGTAAGGGAGAAGTTGGAAACTACGTGCTTCACATTCATTGCTTAAGTCAAGAAGAAAGAAAATTCGTGCAGGGGAGGGTATGGGTACATTCACCCAGAACTGGATGGACGCGGCAAATCGCGCGGCGAAATTCGTGGCGATTCCAACGCCTTTAGCGCCTAATACTGGGGTCCAAATTTGAGATAGTGCCAATAAGTACGATTATCTCACCATACTAACGTACTCTACTTCAAGTTTGCGCTCCAATGATAGGTGCGAGAGTCGTCCCGAACGCCACGAATCTCGCCGCACCATTTGCCGTGTCCATACAGTTTTGGGTGAATGTTCCGTCTCCCTCCGGGGAACAGTCAGTCAGAAAGACTATACCTACTGCGGATCATCATGAACGAAACCTTCGAATCATCATACACAAAATCCAGGCACATTACTTAGGTGACAGAAGGGTACTGTAATCTCCCGGTTGTGATTCACGTTTAACATTGCCAAAGATACGACGAAGAATATCCTTTGTGCGGAATTGGGAACACACCGCTATACAGGCCATAAAGGTCGTCTGTGATGGAGCCAACTAACTGGAATACTAAACAAAGCCATGATGCATTGGTTATTACTGTAGTTATAGAGCATAATCTCTGTTAGATCACTCAGATAGGAGATCTCCAACGAAAGCAAAAGTTGCGCTCAAAAATTGCCACTTATGTAGTCCATAAATGTTACTAAAGTTAGTCTCATTCTATTACATCTCATACCCTGTCCCCTAACCTCGACAAGTTATAACGATTCAGGCACCACCCAAGTTTCAAACTTACTTGCCAGAACATTTTGCTGCTACATGTGTTAGTTATGCATATTTTCTCTTCTGATATTATCTCGCTCACAGGTGATCAAACTCATTTGCAGTTGCCGATTTCGAAGACTGAGGCTGAAGGGAATCCGAATAGTTGTTGGGAGAATCAAACGACTACTGTAATCGAAGTTAGCCCAAAGCCAAAAAAATGACTACGGCAGACAACCCACAAGAGGGTGGACGATGGGAGGAAGACCGGTGAATCTCTGGATATGGCACAGGTCAAGCTTTACCTATCTGCACAGTATGAAGTATTTAACTTATCTTTTGTCATTTCCTGCTCTATGCTTTAGCGACTTTTTCCCAATTTCTAGCGGCTACTGCATAACATAGACGCTCATAAATTTCATATAACATCATATAACATTTCATGGCACAAATAAAGAATATGGCGAATATGGACGAATAAAGAATATAACTAGGATAACATGCATGCACAAAGATCCTCTAGAAAGGAGTAAATGGTAGTAGAAGTGTATAGAAGTGTTTGATTCGAGAATGCGAGCAGGACGACCACCGCCCCACTCACATCCCCATTGCCCATCAACCTTAGAGCAGGCGTTATCAACAAAGCGACATACGAGTAGGATTATTAATTCTAAATAAATTCTAATATCAAAGGACGATTAACGTGATCTTTTCCTGTATTCTTCCTAATTTGTCGAAGGATTGAGTCACTTGCTTTGCCCACGCTTAAATGGAAAAATTCTTTATGATTCGGTTTTGACTACGGTATCCGCTAGGCTACTCTATGATTCTAACAAGTGGATATGAAACAACTATAGAGAATAAAATTATAAAATCTGTTCAGAGCTGGGAGAAGGGGAGGAGGATGGATCAGGCCTGGGACCTCCCATGACTGACCACATCTTTCATCCCTATTTTTGCCGTGACTCAATCGGTAACACACTCGTCTCGAAGATAAGACAAACGAGTTTTGCATCATCTGAGCCTCGCAAGTGTTGGCTATTACTCACTCAGGAACTAGTAAGATTTGGGGCTAAGTTTAGGGCTTCCCATAACGGAGTTGGTCAACGTCAGAGCGTTGTCGTGGTCCACTTCAAATGAATTTGTAAAAGAATTTACTCGAGGCCGTTTTTGAGGTTTGAGGGCTCATTAAGTTTATCACAAGGGACATTGTAGTGGACTAGTGCAGTGGATTTTGTTATTTACTCATGGCTAATTTTGATAGCTCTACTCATGGGAAATTCCGGAAGGAGTAGGGATGACCATGCAAACATAGGATGCGAAGTTTAAGCCCAGACGGACTGGTTGATCACCAACCCCCTTATTGAAGGAGGTGTGCTAATTACCGGCGATAAACTTGAAACTTTAAAAATTCATTATTCTACTCTACTAATCGTATAATCCCACTTAGTATGTGCATAAATAGCTTACGGGCTCAGCTTGAAGAGCAAATGCCTATTCTTTCGTGTAAAAAAAGGTTCAACAGCTGAAATTAAGGCTATCTTTCGTGTTCCGTGACGATAACAAACCTTATTGCCATGAATAATTAAGTGAATTGTTTATGATATGACATTCTTTTTCGGAGACCCTCATAAATTGCCAGTTACTGAACGCATGACGAGCACTTTCGTTTTAAAGTATTGTTATAAAACATGCTGCATGCTACCGAATTTCCTTGGTCTTAGGGATCAACCGGCTAACCCTATAATGAAGATATATCAGAAACTTCTCGAAAACCGTAAGTTTTCAGGGGCCATTCATTTCCTTGTTGATCATCCTCTTTGGCTGTAATCCGCTACATAGCCTAGCTGATTAGTATGCTTGTATGACCTAACACATCTTCCACCCGACTCGATGGGACGCCTATTAGGAAGAGTGTTGGGACCTTGCCAGGAGTATCTGCGAGTGCTGAGACCTCGGTAGTTGGGCAAAGTTCAAGAGAAAGATTTACGTGGCATCTCAGCCTGTCTTTGAGATTCGTTGAGGTTTAGTCGTCTTCTGTGTTGTCATCGAAGACGCCTACCTTCAGGTGCCCATGCTAGTCCGTCCTCTTCTTCTGCCCCATTTGCCCTTATTCCTTTTAGTGCCACCAGAGACCCTTTGAACATATTCGAAACGTTCATGAACAACTATGGAGGAAAGCAGATGATAACATCGACATGCTTTCAAAGGGAGGACATGGTTTTAGAGGGAAGTTTGAGTCTCGGAAGCTCGGCTTACGCAATGCAGAGACGGTACCGTGACCATAGGTTCTGAAGAATTTCGCGATTCCACTGGTTACTCTCAGGTGGCCTGTGCAAAAGTCATTGGAAGATTTAGTTGTAGAATCTTTTTTAAGCTAACCCCTCTTCTAGCTCCATACTTTCGGGAGTTTAATCGATGTAGATGGAATGAGCTGTTCCATCTCATGCCTGTTCCTTCATGATACTCAGACATATTAGTATCAGATTTGAAAGATACGTCAGTTTTTGTACAGGCATGCTCGAGCACAGGGTATTAGGTGCCCAATAATGGTAGAGCTTTGAGGAAGAAGCCGGGCAGTGTGGATCTAAATGTAACCTCTGTTATTTATCTCGTCGTTTTCAATTTCTCTCGGTTCATTTTTATGGCCTTTATTAATTCAACAAAAAGCGCGTACCATCCCAGAGAGATATAAATTTCTCATGGACCACCAAATATGTAGTTAAGGGGATTGAACTCGAGATAGATTGCCCATAGGCATCAATTCATGGGAGAATATGGTAGAACTCACCAATTTTCCTATGAACTTTTCGTTGAGTGAGGCTTATCAACCTCAAACGGAAATGACGTGATCCTAAGCAGAACAGAATGAAATTCGACGCTTTGCCACATATAACAAGTGTGCTGAAAAAGGGAATTGACTTCGTTAACGGAACCGACGAATTAGAAAAGTGAAAAATGAGAATTAGGCAGTATATCCTTACAAGTTGATAACTTTGGACTGACTATCATTTTTACTTTTTGTAGGTTTAAAAACGAATTTCCTTAAAATCACCATACCATTGGCGCTTTGGTTTTTTGGCGATTTCTGTCAGTTTCTATCTTCCTTCTAGTGCGTCAATTTGTAATATTTTCTCATTTCTGTGTCACAGACTGTCCGTGACCACCTTACTCATTAAGAAGCCCAAATGGGACTCTGGTTTTCCATGCCAGACCTGAGAACTAACTTTTGGTCAAACTTTTGGCCAATTTCCTTCCTGAGTGCTGGATGCCCGAATAAGACCATTTTTGCGTCAAGTAGTCTTCAAAAGAGACCTCATTAAATCACCTGGATAAGAGAATTATTTGAAAGACAAAACGAGCATTCCTATTTGGGTTACAATAGAGTTATCCTTCCCTTCTCCATTAAGACGCTTATGGAATTTGATAGACGTAAGGGTCGTTCTGAAGGGACCAGTCTCTCATCGCCATGGCTTACCTCTCTAGGGAATCACGAATGGAAGTTCAGGTGAAATTTTAAAACGAACCTGCAAATCATAGTCAGATCGTAGAGTTCCTGTTGCCTCAAATTGTAGGCAGTACGAATTAGATGCATGAAAGCCGATGGCCCATTGGTTAATGTGAACATCGTGACGATAAACGTCACCGTTAATGTCACACGATTTTCTGTTTTATGCAGTTGGCCCTCGTTGTTTCGCCTGTAAAATGTCGTCGTTTATTGCCTATCTATATTTTCTTCTTGAGGAAGTTGTTACTAAGGTTTTGGAAATTTTGGCATCATCATCCCTCAAAACCAGCACTGGGGAAATTCAAGCTATCGTGGTGGCAGAGATTTTTCCAAATTCCTGCCACCACGATAGCTTGAATTTCCCCGGTGCTGGTTGGAGGGACATTTTTGAATGACTTTTACTCAAACACGTTCTTATCAGTGAGCAACGACATGTTCAAGGAAAGAAAGCTTTCTGAAAACAGTTAGCGACCCAGAGGAAGTCTCCCCAAGTGGGTTCTACTGAGGTAAGGTTTTTGCCGTCAGACCTTATCCCTTTCCGCATTATTTGGGTCCCGAGTGATTTTTCGAAAAACCCTTTACAAGACTTCATGGGACGGGGTTATGCCCTCTACAATTTGTTACATATCCTAATTCACTAGTACCTACCTTTCACAGATATCTGCTGATACCGACAGGTTTTTCTGCCTTTGTCGTAAAGCGCAAAGCAGCATCATATTCAATATTGTGAGCAACACAATCGGTAGGATAATCATTGCCAGAGCATAGATCAGAACACAAAATGAAATAACTTGGCGAAATGTCATCGAAAATGGGTTTTCTCTGTTGCCAAACCATGTTCTGAAAACATCATAGTAATACGTTTCCTTGAATTTGCTGTTCACTGGAAAAGGCGGGAAGGCAGGAGACCAAACACTCGTTTTGGTCGAGCATATTGTGGGCGCCATTCGCCCTATTCTCTTACGGAGTTTTAGAAGCGATTGAATGGATGTTGGGCCTAAAGGCACAGTTCATAATAATTTTGTGGTTCCCTTTTCAGGTTGAAAAGCGAAAGTGTTGATATAGAGGAGTAAGTACATCGGTGGCGAAGGAAGCAAGGAAATCCTTCTACTTCGAGGCTTTTCAAAAGTAGTGTAAGTGGGATTGTACGACATCACCGTCACGAGAATGGCATGTATGGGTATTTGGACGAGATTTAAAACTTGCTGCAATTGCGCAAAGAGATGACTATATCAAACCAAAACTGTTCGGAATGGCTTTAGTGGAGCCTCTACAAAGCCGGTGAAACTCGTTCACGAGGGGTGTCGCATTCACACGATGGCTCCCTATTGGGCCCTAACCAGGACGTTTTTCGACCATATAGTGGCAGGAATGGTACAAGGGAGAGCCCCGAATCATACTGTAGGGGAAACTCAGAAGCAACTTTATCGCGAACTGTGCCTTTAAACTAGATTCAATAGCAAGGACCTAGTTGATGCTGCAGGATTAGCCGAATTACCAACAAGGCCCATGATAAGTTCACGGGCTGTAGATAGAAAACTAAGTTCTCCAAAGGGAATCTATTGTTGTGGAACTACAGCGGGGAGTTCTTGTGGACTCTACCTACAGCGTAGCTTTTCTCCCTCGGACCAATTTTGAGTTCAGAATGCTCTTTCAAACTCGTATTGAAAACGCTTCTTTCGAAGTTTCATGCATAGTTAATAGCAATGCGAGGTGGCTGACGTCATTCCCTAACGACCGCTGTTCTCAGAACATAATGATTCCTATGCAGAATTGGAGTAACGACTGTTATGGCTCGATTAAATTTCGATTACGGTAGTGTTTGTGGGTTTAGCTATGGCGTTTACGACAATGGCCAATTATCACAAAATCAGATCCCAAAGTACTGCTTTTTTTGCAGCAGCCCGTCTGGGTGGGTAGCAAGCTATTTAGTATGAGCGCATATGAGCTAAATTAGATCTAATGCACTACTAGAAACGGAACATATCAAGTATGTACTTGGTTTTTGTGACATACGGGTGTACTTGGGGTGGTGCAGCTGCAAGTGGTGCACTATCACACACGCATGGTCCGAAAATAGAATCATGGATCGATTCGCTTGGGCCAACCGAGCCCTCCATTATTACGGGGTCGGTTCATTGATCCCAGACTCGTCTGGGAGGATAACAGCACTGACTCGGACATCGGCTGGCCACCGCAGGTATAGGCCACATACGCATTCAATAACCCATTACGAATCTGAGTGGAAGTAGAATAGGTTGGACAGAATCGGGTAGGCTCAGCTGGACCATATCTTTTACAGTAGCTGACAGCTTGTTGAGTTGCCTTCCTAACGCTGGGACCTCATTTTCAGGACTTCAAGCGAGACCACTACCAGCCTCCTCCTGTAGGAATAGAACATCTCTTTTCAGGACACATTTGCATAGGGTGAACCGGCTCCAGTTCAACTACGACAGTGGAAAGGTGACCTGAGCATAAGACTTCCAGCTGATCTGAGCACGATTTTAAATACGATATGGAATGACTTTGGATGGAAACGTCTATTCTGAAGGATTCCATCTGCACCACAACTTCAGAGCTTCCCAGAGCATGTTCCCCGTTATAATTTTGTCTGTTACTTTCTCTTCCAACATGATCAAACCTCACTCGGATCGTCCCTACTCTGGACTGATGAGGTCTCAATATAAAACCTTCATTGGCCTCATTGGCTAGTACTTATATTTGACGCAATTTTCCAGTAATACTGCTCAGAACAAAAATGAAAGCGATCGAGGAAAGATAAGCCCTCAATTTTTACTTTCGAAATATTACTGAAATCTAACAGGCGCTGGCAAAGAAGCAGGCGATCAGAGGAATTTGGAAGGGTCTTCGTAGGTTCTAAAGAACACCTCATCTTTATCATGCTGCCACTTTTAATAGGTAGACCCAATATTTCATTTGCATCTAGGGTCTTCGGAGCAGGAAAGGCTATACGCGAAATGAAACTCACTCGCTGTAGACTGGCAAACATCTGGAGTAGAGCTGAGTCTCATTACAGTACGACCGTACCAAGCAGAAGTACTCGAAATGTTGGTAGAAGGTTAGAGCACCAGCTACAGCAACAATACAAACTATCACAGCTGGTAGTTTCCTGAAAAGTAAGTAATTCACGGTTAGTGATTGTAATCTTGATAATTCGACATTAGCCTTGATCACAAGGACCTCATGATCGGAATGTACAATCATACTCCTAATTCCTATTGATGCTCCTAATGGTTTCGATTGAATTGCAGATGATTCCGAACAAGAGACATTTTGGAAGATTGCGTTGAATGTAGACTAGTGAACTCACCACCATGACCAGGCGGCCCTAGCATATAGTGGATTACGAATTCCGACAAGTCGATCACCACAAACGGCTATTACACACCTGTAACTCCGAAAATCATTTCTTTCTAGAAGTCATTCGAGTGCAAAATTGCAGATTGAGAGGTGAATTCTTCCTTAGACGTGCCCTGCAATCAAATTCTATCGCTAACCCTGTAATAATTGGATATTGACACGACAATGATGCCTGACTACTGACAGATTGTGGGGGATTGCCTGCCTTAAAATAAGATCGAGTCTTCTCCGTTAATGTGGCACCACCATCCCTAAACAGTCCCATACAGCCTTCCAAAAAAAGGAGGAATAAAGCATGGGTCAGGGGTTCAAAAGATAGAATTTTGGGGTGTCAGCCAATCCCGCCTGAGGGATACGCCCACGTATTCGACTACCATTCAGAATCGTAGTGGCATATTGAATACGTACGTGGCCTATACAATGACTTGCCATGGCCGATAAATGTACAAGTCAGAGCTTTTACCTCCCAGACGAGTCTGATACCAATTAGCCGATCCCCGAGAGATGGAAGGCTTAGTTGGCCTAGGCGGATATCTGGTCGGGATTAGAACCCGTGACCGTGCTTGTGGGATAGTGCGCCATCATGTTTGGTGATCCCTAACAAACTGATTTCATCCTATCACCAGCAGATTTGGCTAATATCCCCAATCAAGTTCACCGAAGTTTTCTGTTTATTTTCCGTTGTTTGGGTAGATTGAGAATACGAGCCTAAACGCTGCATACAAGCTACCTCACACAGGTCGCTACTGAGGACAAGTACTCTCGCAACACCAGTGCGGTACTGAATGTTGAATGCCTGGCGCAACCTAGATGATGTTTGGTCGGTTCTGAGCTTTTTCCTTGTCCTTTTCGCATTCCGCGATGCTAAAAAACTCAATTTCCACTGATTGGATCCCTATGTTCCAATGGGCGGAGACTTTTTTTCAGGCCCCCTTGAATTAGAAACACTTGTCCTAATGTTTACAAGAAGCTGTAATACTAGCGAATAGGACGAGCAATTTGCAATAGGCAGTTTATGAGATTACTCTTCGGATAAATCTGTTAGCTTCGTAGTTTATCGTATTTCATGGAAATGGATTCAAGAAAAAGGTTCTCTGGCTCTAATGGATATTTATGGAGCAGAAATTTGTGGTAGACTATTGAACCAAATTTCACAAAACTCTTCATCGGGGCAGTGGTGGGAATGTTTCAGAACAGGCCATAACAACAGGGAGGTTACCCGGAAGGAAGCATCTTTGAAGATTCGGTTGGCCGTGAACTGTAGGTACCTTTTTTCGTTGAATATCGGAAATGTCGACGCACATTTGTGGCGAACGTGGTACGGAAATTGCAGAATTTCAAAAATGTCACGATCCTTTAAATTATTTAATGTGGAGGAGAGGAAGGAAGGAAAGTTTTGCACGAGATTATGACGAGGGAAATTTTATGAATGGGATATTTGGACGAGATTTTCCTGTTCAATTTAGTATAGAGCTGACTACAATGAGCAAAGATTCCCGAAATTCGTCCTTGACCGTCATCCCCAGTCAAGACCGGTAACAAGCAGCTGTTTGAATATACCAACTTATATGGTTCGTTGGGAAGGGGTGCAGCCTACACTAAACCGTTGGAACACGACAACTTCTAGGCATGGCGTACAACGGGGCAACGGGGGTGATTTTTTAGTTTTTGTTAACCCTATCTAAACCGTTTTCAGGGGCCATCATCGGCCCAGGTTGTTACCCTAGGGAACCAGGATCACTAGGTAGGAAATCTCAGAAACCGTTCTATCATGGGCTGTACCTCTAGCTTCTACCGGTTGTTTCCCCGAAGAACAACATTTTAGATGATTGCAATACAAAGATCGAAAGCCACATGCCTCAGCAAAGACGCAGGCGCGCTACAGAGGGAATCTATGAGTTTCTAAAATCCCCTAAGCAGGAGAAAAAAAAGAAATTAGATGAAAACTCTGACAACTTCCCTTTAATTCCTTGGTGTCCCTCTCACTCCTACTGAATGCCTCGACTGTTCCTAGCGGAACAGCGTTTTTTCGGTAATCCACTTTTTTTAAGGAAACTTAATGCGCTCGATTAACTTGTTGTCGCAATTGGAAATGTCAGAGCAAAATGTTTTTCGAGAAATTCCTCGGAACCCCGCTTACTGACTAGCAACTAGCCCTTTCGTCATGAATGCGTAGAAAACCAATATGGTAATCGAGTTATGGAATGGCTTGTAGACTAGCGTCAAGTGTATGCATGACCGGATTGCTGGGAGAAGCAGTAAAACGCATTAGCCGATCAGTTTGACAGAATTCGCCGTTACCCAAGCCTTCCATCAGTTTGTACTTTCAAAGGTCTCTGGAAGAGCCCATGTCCCATATAATGCCTCTGGTGGTCTGCTGGGGATGTCGGGTGTTTACCTTGTTGGGTAAGTACTTGGTAAAGGCTATACACGTGATTCAACAGCTCCTACCTTCGCACCAGGTGCTTTCAAGTAAATATTATCCCCTATAGAAGCAATGTTTTCACGGACTTACCATATTGCCACAGCAGAACACCAATTTGCCATTGAGATCAGATGTACTTTAGTATGGAAGTAGAAGTAGCGAAAGTAGTAATTGAAAGTGAAGAACGAATAGTTGGCGAGAATGTTTGGGAACAGTAACGATAGGAAAATAATATCAGCAAAGGCCAGTGTCGCCAGAAAAGTGTTTGCCCTGGAAAAATCACATCGTCAAGAACAAATCGTTGTTTATTAATTTATTTGTTTATTGAAGAAGCTACATAAGGCATCATGGGAGCATTCAAGGACCAGTTTACCCTATCTGATTTCTCTTTTCCCAAAAACACCACGACCCAAATAAGACGATTAAGCAGTACTCCACCCGGGTTCCGAATTCCCTGGACCCAAAATTCAAAGCCTCTGTCGGGACCGATTGACTCGGTCCCTTTAGGTCATTGTTTCCGGGTGGAGGAGGAGAAATTTCTCGAATCTACCCACTACCACGACCTAAACAACCCGAATAAGGAATAAACCAAATAGGACGATTAAGTAATGCTTCCCCCCCTCCCCCACCCGGGTTACAAATTCCTCGAGCTGCGGACTCCCTCGACCCGAAATTCATAGCAGCTCTCTGAACCTATTGACCCAGACCCATTAGGTCGTTACAATTATCCCGAGTCCCACGTACTTATGGGATATACTACTCCCCGTCGACTAGTAGTTTGATTTCGCCAAATGTAATTTCCGTGGCTGCGAGCCAATGTTTCCAGCCCATAACGACCTTTGATCCTTTTCGGATTCCAAGCGTGAAAACAATTGCCACCCAATGATTCCTTCCTCATTCCATCCTCCCTTCCAATGAAATGGAATTTCCGTCGTCGATCACACTGGCACGTGTTGCCGGCCGTATTTAGCCCTCAAAACTTAGTCAGCTATGCATTATGAAGCCTGCATAAACAACCATTTTAGGCCAGTTTACCCCTTTCGATTTTGCTTTCCCCACAGACACACATCTGAGAAGCTAAGCATAAACGAAACAACGGTGAAATCCCCTAGGGTGAAGGTTCTGGCATGATTGCCTGGGGCCGAGTGTCAAATTGTGACTTTTGAGCTGAGATCGTTGATACTTTGGAGGGCCAAAAACCTCCAAAGGCTCAGACATCGTCAGAACTCACCGGCTTCGCATACTTCGATTAAGCAGCACCGTTAAATTGAGTACATTTCCCAGTATACCGAATACGGCAATCGCTGGAAACACATATCTAAAATAAAAAATAAAAATAAAGAATCCAATGAATAATACAGTAACTGGAGTGTTCGAGAGAGAATTATGGGAGATTCCCTGGATAATATTTCTCTGGTGAAAGCCGTTTAATGTTTATAGGTAGGGGTAAGACCCATATGTAGGGCTATTTGTAAACTCGATATCTATCATATGTACACTCGAAATACTACAAAGTCCAGAGTTAATAAGCTTTGACGTTTGTTTACCCGAAGAGAACTTAATCTTGCTCGAATAAATAAGTCTTTTTGCATTCCTTGGCGTCCTTTGAGTTTACGAATAAAATTTTGTAGAAGTTCCAGGATTTGATCTGAGCTTAAGTACTTATGAGTACCTTGGAGCTTTCCGCTTAGGAGTCCTTGGGAAATTTTATTTTGAAATAAATTGGGAGATTAGAAAAAACAGAAACCTCCCTTTGGGAGTTGGGAGGTTTTTTAGGCACTTGGTTTTCAGCGTAATTCTGAAGTACCATAGGTTCTGACTGGCTTTGGGACTTCGGACTGAACTTTTACGCCATGCCGCCACCTTTGTCAATTAATTTTTCTTTTCAGAGGATAAACAACTTACCCAAATTGCCCCAATGGGGTGAGTCACAGGAAATCCATTTTCTCAGGTTCAAAACTCTCCTGTTCACATTTCCCCCGGAAAAAGAAAATATTTTGAAACCATCGTTTCACACATACGAAAGCAGTCTGTTTCTTCTCTGAAGTTTCTTCAGGTCACACCACAAAAGGCACCTACCCTGGACATCAAGTAGTCGATCAAAGATTGCAAGGGCGACGGGTTTCCATTAGCACTATTGGCTAGGGCAAAATCGTAAAAGTACCCCAAATTCGGAAACCCAAAATGGTTTTTTTGTATGGGGGAGTGTTTTTGAGTTGCTATAGTTGAGCGCTTCTCAAAAACATTCCCTCAGACAAAAAAATTCATTTGGGGTTTCCCGAATTTCGTATACTTTTACGATTTTGCCCTAGCCAATAGTGCTAATGAAAGCCCGTCGTCCTTCCAATCCTTGAATGCTTAATTTTGGGGCACGAAATCGGGGATAATTACCGGAAAAGAGGACGTTTCTGGAAGGATGTGAGGGTTAGAAAAAAGATCTGAATGAATTCTTTTTTGGGAATAAGTCTAGTTCCAAACTCTCTTCGAGGGAAGAGTTCTAGTTCAGGAAATGTACTTCTAACGATCCACCAAGGTACGAACGGCCTTACGAAGACCCTACCTCTGTAGGTTGTACTCCAAAGGAGTGCCATTCATCATCTGTTGTGATTCCGTCAAGCACACATGAGAGAAATTAACCATTTTTGCTGATGACCTGAATTCTATGCCTTCGTTTCAAATTGAACAATACCTGTAAGCAGCAACGGCAAACAAGCCGAAGGAACGACGGATAAAGTAGTGCAGAAACAGGAAAATTCAAGGTTTTCGAATTCATTCGGACACTTTTACCAACCAGATTGATGTATGAAGTTATAAGGAGGTGTTGTGGCAAGTGGCGCACTATCACACATGCATGGTCCGGGGATCGAATTCAAGATCGATACCGGCCGCTAGACCAACCAGGCCATCCATCTCTTTGAGGTCGATTAATTGGTTCCAGATTCGTCTGGGAGGATAAATGCATGTGGCTCAAACATCGGGTGGTCATTGTTTAGCCCATATATTCATTCTGGAGGGTACTGCATTTTTGAATGAAAGTCGAACGCGAGGGTTCATCCCGAAAAATGGACTGATTGTCGTCCTGAAGGGAGCAATAATTTGTACTTTTAGTAAAGTCGCAAATTCATACATAAAGAATAAATGTCAAAAATAAATACAGCATTTTTAAAAAAGCACAGAAGCACGGCTTCAGGCGGTCAGCCACCAAAAGAGAACTACGGAAGATAAGAAGGATAAGGAGGCTCACATCAGCCACCAGAAGGGAACTACGGAAGATGAAAAGGATAAGGAGGATCACAAGCACGGCTTCAGGCGGTCAGCCACCAGAAGAGAACTACGGAAGATAAGAAGGATAAGGAGGCTCACATTGTTTTCAGAATCCTTTGTCATACAACCATGAAGTAGTGTTTTTAATGCTAATTGCTTCAAAGTTCAAGGATTCTGAGCAGTCATTACTATCACCTAGCATTTTACTTGCCCCCACACTTGTTATGAACCTTGAAGAGCGCGTGCCGAGTTCAACACATCAGTTTTTCCATGCTATAGGGGAGAGGTCTGACTTGAAAGCAGTTAAGACACAAGAACATGTTTCGATAAGGATCATGGATCGAAGAATAAAAAGATAATGAAGGTTTTTTTATTTTGGGAAAGAAAAACTGCAGCGGTTGTTCAATCGAATAGACGACGTTAGGAAGATCATGAGAAGAAGTGGGACAATGTGAGGAAAAAGTTTCAGAGCGTAAGGTTACCTTAGAATATCTACTGTGGTATGTAAAGCAAAGGAAATGCTCCCAAAATTTGAAGGACAAAAAGTTTTGGGCGTTAATCAATCCTGCCTGTGGAAAGCGCCCACGCCTTCGTCTTCCTTTCAGAATCGTAATGGGCGCATTGAATGCGTCGTGGCCTATACAATGACTTGCACAGGCCAGCCGATGTACAAGTCAGTGCTATTATCCTCCCAGACGAGTCTGGAACCAATCAAACGACCTCGGAGGGATGAAGGGCTTGGTTGGTCTAGACGAATGTCGACCCCGGATTCGAACCCGTAACCATACATGTGTGAAGTGATTTTCAAAGTTCATCAAGGGAAGGAGCAGCCATCGACATGACATCGAACGAACACGGAAAATCCAACAAAATTTAGCGTAAAAGAGAGCTCGTATAAATAAGGCATAGGAAACATAGCACTCTATGAGCTGATTGGTTACATATTGTCAGAAAAGGTTGGGGAAATATGAATTCTGGCAGAATACGTTCTCTCGATGTCTCCTGCAAGACAGTAGAAGGGCTTAGTGAATACCTTGTTAGTCTTTTGAAGCAGAAGGCTCCAAATACATGACCAGAAGGAACAGAACGATTTTTGTCGGCTCAGTTCCTATATGATTCTCGTATTCCAGGCAGTGTCCTCCGATATTTTGTATTATAGAGTGGTTCCCAAGAAGTTACTATTAGTAGCTATCGGATAAGCGCAGTCTTTGCTGGGTCTCAAGTCAGTAATCCTCTGGAGCAGATGCACTCACATTCACGTCTGAAGCATGGATTGATGTTCAATATCACCCTATTTGGGGAAAAAACTTATCAAGGGGTCTCATCAGAAGAGGATGGAGAGGGTGTAGTAAGAAACTCCCCTAACACAAACCAAACAAAGCATGCATAGCCTGTGGATCATGGGTTGGACTAGTACTTGGAAGTATACGCCATCAATCCTTTATATGTACTTCATCAAGACAGCGGTTATCTGGTAATTGTATTTACTTCAAGGGCTATTACAGCTTTAAATGAACATCTAGTGCATGTACCGAAATAGAGTTAGACGACGTCAATACCATTATCCGCCATGATTAATCGGGCCAAGCTCTACTTGAAGACCGACATTTCATGTCGAACGCCGTCATAAAGTGGCAATTATTGAGACCTACAGATATACAGGCATGTTCATTATAAATGGCATGCATGGGGAAGAATCAATAGGAAGCAAAAGCAACATCTACTTGTGAGGCATGAACGTTCACGAGCCAACAGAGGGAATCTGAGCGCACGCCGGTTTGAGCCTTTCAAAAAATATGTAGCATAATTAGTTTACGGCTCCTCCTCTTCGCTTTGTTCTTAGCCAGAAAATCATAGAACCAGCTGAGGATTATCCTCGCACTGACCCGAGCAATCCTCGAGACCGAGTCCCGTTATTCAGTAGACCCTCCCACATCCCCACTCACTCCGAACTTGATAGACGAAATCGCTGATTTGAATTACGGGAAGTCGATTAGCCGTTTCCATCTGACCTTTGACTAAATTCAGAGTCCCGCAAGAATTCAATCGGGCTGTTGAAGAGAATGGAGTACATTCCCCAACGTAAGAGTAGGTTCCCTGACTTTAACGGTCTACGGCGGTTGGCCGATTCGGTCATGTAGTTGGAATTTTTTCTAAAATCCCTACTGACCATCCATCAAAAGAGTGGCATACCAAAAAATGTAATTGGTTGGGTCATAAATGGGGGTATATCCGCCAGATTACGCAGTTATGACATGCGGCCATTGACACTGCTGATGGAGGCAAAGTACTCACCCTAAGGAGAGCAAATAAAAGTTGATACCACAGCAAAGGCACTAATTTAGGTACCAGATCATCCAGGTCCTGTATGAAGAGCTTTCCATAAGGGAATGAGAGGCGCCATTTCAACTTTTGTCAGAGTTGAATATAAAATGCGAAATTTACACTGTCCAATGAAAAATAAGGAAAAAAAATCAAGAAGACTCTGAGGGTCAGAACTTGTTTGCTCTACCAGCAAGGTTTGTCCTCTACAACAATTCTGCCCCATTTACTTTTTATCGGAAATTATCGAGGATCCAATGCGCTCTGACATCTAAATTGGATGTACATAAAAGTGAAGAACGGCCAAGTGATGGTGTACGAATGGGAAAAGTGCGTCTTCACTGAGAAGAATGTTAAGGGCTAACCAAGTCCTAACATTTATCCTTATTTGCTATAAGAGATTCGGAACGATTCTATTGTCACCTCTCAAACTATAAAAGTCTCACGGCCAAAGTCTACAACCTAATCAATCGAATGCGCCCTGCATTCGACTTCTATTCAAAATCGCAGTGGCGGTTTGAACGCGTCTGTGACTTATATGTATAATGAGTTGCTGAGGTTAGCCGATGTACAAATCCGTGATTCTATCCTCCCGGACAAGTCTGGTTCCAATCAATCGACTCAGGGAGGGTGAAGGCTTCTCTGGCCTGAGCAGAAATCGATCTAGGACTCGAACCTTTGACCATGCGTATGTGATAATGTATCTCATGCTACTACACCATTTGACATTAGACGTTTCATATTTTTTTATTTATTATTCACTGGTGCTCTAAAATTGACTTCTTACATGGAAAGCAACAAGTTTAAGATGGTGTAAGCTTAACCGTAAACAAAACATAAGCAGTAAACCATCACTCAAGCGCTAGACAAGCATGCATAGTGAACAACTGATTTTATGACAGAAAATAAACAAAGCAGCGAAGAAATGCCCAAAAAGTTTGTGGTAAGGAGAGTGTGTCATGAAGTGAAATGATTGAAAAGCCAAAGTTCTCCTTCGCTTCTTCTGAGCTTAATCCCCACTATAATGTTGTGAGATCACTAATTACAGGATAGAGGCCTACTTGAATTAGTAGCGCTATCTTTTTCTAAATTTTGGAAATTCCCCTAGTTTTGCAGCATGAAGGCTCCGGAGACATCAATCGACTACCTACTGTGCAATTCTGGTTTGCATCACTAATCTCGTGCCCCAAAATATGTAGTGCTAAGTGATTTCACAGGTTCCTATGCATTTGGGAATGCCCACACTTAGAAGGGGGACAAGTAAACCACCCCGAGTCTCCTACGAAACTCTAAAAGGTGACGCAGACGATTACGAGGGGAAAACCAAACTGAGCGATATGAGGAAACTGTAACCTGCGTCAATAGTCTTACACATACTTCGGAGGGAGTCGTCCTTCACAACGCTTTTTAAAGAGTCCAATGAAAAGGATAAGCCCCAGTCATTCTCGGAAAACCTTCATGAAATTATCTGTGGGGATAAGCAGGTTATTTCTTTCACTTTCTTTGATTTCTATCGAGAATTAATCTGAGTTTTATTCTGATTAATAGTAGACGTTGCTGAGGAGTTTCCCGAACGGATAGGGCTACGGTAAAACCTCGGGCTATGGATGGTAATGGTGGTCAGGTGGTCTGGTATATAAATATTAGAATTCCTACAGCTGCAGAAGTTTATGCTCGTAATGCGGCGTAGTTGGATCCTAGACAGGTGATTTTTCCTCCCATTTTCATCAGAAACTAATCTTTCACTGCTTCAAATAGAGAATTTGCAGAAATTAAATATCTTGATACCACTCGATCATCGAACTCAAAGAAGGTGAAAAGGGATTTCCCAAAGGGAAACAACAGCTGAATCGACAGAAATGAAGATTGGTGGCTTTACCATCACAACCATTCCTATGAGACTTTTTAGAAAACATACATCAGAAATACAAATGGAACCCCCCTCGGCAGCTACCGGTGGGAGGTCTTGCATATTTAAAGGCCTCCCTAAAACTCAGAGATGACCACTAATGTTACCCTTAAACCTTGGAAACTCTGGAATTTTGAGGACCCGA